TTGCTGACCCAGCGGCAAAGAGACTTCATCTCTGCTGCTCACGTCTGTTGGCAGTTGAGTTTCAGCGGTGGGGCAGGAGGTGCGGCTAGAGACGGACTGCAGCCAGGTGTGCACCTACCCAGAGAGGCAGTGACGGTGCCTGGGCTTGCTTGTCCTGCAGACTCCAGATTTCCTCCAGCCCTGTCGTCGTCATTCTGCTGAGGTGACCTGCACACAGAGGTCTTTGCTGAGGAAGGAATATGTGCCATCTTCTCTGGGAGCTGCACATTTACCGACTGAACCACCTGCAGCCTCCACACTCCCCTCTATAACAGCAGCTCACAGGGCACATAGAGAAAACATTTGTGGTGATATTTTTAGTGTCCACATGAGAATTTGCAGGGCAAGTACAATTAACTTTTTTCTCCTCAGGACTCAGAGGAATTTGTATTTTCTTAGTGAATACCACATAAGTTCTTACTATAAGACTTGCAGAGATTCACTTTTCAGAATCAACAGTAGACTCCCAAGTCTGGCAGTCCCTGACAGTAGTCAAATCTGGATGCATTAAAATTTAAAGAAAATTTCAGAGTCCTTTTGCTGTAGGGAAATCAATCCCCAAGTGAGGTTCTTTTTTAGTGAGCTTCAACATTTTGTTCGTATTCTGATAGTGATCATTTTGGTCAGCTGGGCGGTACTGGGGGGAAACGTGTCAAGGATTTTGGTCTTGACTGCCCTGAATTAGCTGGACATTAAACAGGAGGTAAGAGGATTCAAGAAAAATGCCCCTCTCATAAATGACCATGAAAACTGGCTGGAGATCACTGTTGGGAAGGGAAAGGAAGCTGTAGTCCATGTAGAGACAGACTTGCCACGGAGGTGATGCAAACTAGCTGACCAGGGGAGGTCTGGGAGCTGTGCCTCACATGCTAGAAGAGCCTACACTCTGCTGGTTTCTACAAAGAAGTCCCATGAGGCACTTGGGATGGAATGAGCTGGGAAGCAAGCTGAGGAATCCTGCTGGGCAGGGAGAAGTCCTTGTAGAGGCAGCAGCCTCAGGAGTCAGGGGGAGGAGTGGGGTACCCTGGGAGAACAGGGTACCTGCCATCTTCAGGACCAACTCTGGGCAGCTCCAGTCAGTGCCCGATCCGGGCGAGTCAAGAGGAGCGTACTGCCACAACACAAAGGGGCAATAGGCTTTTTAAAGGGTCTGTTTTCTTTAAAGGTTTCAGTAGAGGGCAGAGGTAGCACTCCCTTGCTACTTTCTCCTCCTCCCTGTGACTCATAAGGCCAGGGTGGGGCCTTGCTGAGCTTCAGGCCAAGTACTTCTGCCTCTTAGAGACCCTGGGCCCACCACTCAGAGCTCCACAGGCTGAACTGAGTTTCAGAGCCCGGCCCCGGGACCCAGGGTACTCAGGCTAGCCTGAGGACTGTTGTGTCTGAACCAGCAGAGAACCCTGAGCAAATCAAGGTAAAAAGTGACCTCAGGCTGCATGAGAGACCCCTGCATTCTGCCTGACCCTGAGCCTCTGACTGCTCAGAGGTACTAAGAGGATGTTGATTGCCTGCCCATTCCTCAGCTCATAAGCCTGTGTGAGGTTGCACACAACTGGACATGGGAATCTGTGGTGCCCATCCTTTCCCAGACCTGCCTGGAGAGGGGTCAGCCTCCCAGAGGGTCTACAGGGAATGGAGGCTTGGGTTGGCCCTTCCCAGCCCCAGGTTAGTCAGGTCCTACTGCAACTAACATCTCCACCAGCAGGCCAGATTCCAGAGAAAGGCTGAGAAGGCCCCTACTAATGTCAATGCCTCCAGCCTAATTTGATTTTATTTTGAAGAAATAAAGGACCTCTATGAGCAACCAGTCTGTGGTATAGTCCCTAAGAGGTTTGGGCCAGAGCCAGAGTGTCTGGGTTCAAGTTCTGCTCTGCCACTTCCTAGTTTGTTAACTAGCTAGATTGTTTGACCTTTATAATTCAGGTCCTCGTCTGAAAATCTGGGATACCAAGGCCTCCCTCTTGGAAGTAGTGAGAGTTAAATGCTTAGAGCCAGGCATACATCAAAGGCCCGGGAACGCTGGCCCTCGGAGTGCCTCTAGGAGGAGGGTAGGAGCCCACCGTTTTCATGTAGAGGGCTAGGCTCAAGTCACCAACGGGAAGCCCATGGTCCCTTGAACCAACGGTGGGAGAGGATCCTGGAAGCTGCTGGTGAGGCATGCCAAGGCCATGACGTTTACACAGCAGGAGGGAACTAAGTAACCTGATGGTTTGAATTAGGCCCCCACCCCGGCAGCTGTAGCTTATTAGTGTGGTGCTTGGTGGAGGCAGAACACAGGAGCAACACCCCCAACTCCACACCCAGAGCTCTATGCTCCCCGACCCTGTAGGGCCCTGGGTCAGCCTCTAGGGGGTAGCTTTAACTTCCCTTTCCATCCTGCCGATTTCATGCTGTGTTGTCCTCTTCTGTTTTCTGGCACTGTCCACTCTGTTGTCCTTCCCCATCTCAGCTACAGCAGCTACACAGCCTCATGTGCCCCAGGGAGGCTGAGTCCTGTGCTGTGCAAGTGTGCACACACACATCCCTCCAAACCACCCCTGGGCTGTTTGTTCTTTCCAGGCTCAGCAGAGACTGGAAACCAAGCTTGGGGGACTTCCCTCACAGTTTGGATGGCCCCATTTGAGCCCGCCATACTGGGCTCTTCAAACAACCTCTTCCTGCCTGGTATCATGTGACCCAAGTGCCACTAGCCTCTCCCAGAGCTGGCTGTGCCCACAGGCTTTCCTAGTAGATGGGCTGTAGGCCAGAGAAGCAAGAGGGGAAGAGCTGTGGTCTTCAGGGAGACTGAGCCCCCATTCCCTCTCTTCTTACCCAACCTCCAGCCTCTTCTTGGCTTGACTGCCACAGCCAAAGCCAATCCTGAAGAGGCCAGGGGCCCTACCTTGGTTACTTAGGCTGGCCACGCCCCTTGTCAAGCCTTGGCTGAAAGTGGGCCCACGAGGGTGTCCCGGGCAGTCCTCTCTGCCAGGCTCCTCCCAGCCCAAGAGGAGGCCATGCTCTCCCAGCCTCCCCTTTCCCTGGCTCCTGACATTGATGCCTGGCTGTATTTTCTGTACTCTCTGGGCCTCACTGTCCTTATCCAAACAATGGGTACACAATCCATCCCTTGCCCCCTCCCAGGTCAGTGCAAGGATCCACTGAATCGGATGAGGAAGAAGTGGGCTGGAAGAGAGGAAGAGGCAGAAAGCACCCCTGAGGTGACCAGCTGGTCACACATGCTGGCCAGCACTGGCCTGGCCTCAGCTTGAGGCCTCTGGGAGCTGAGCCAGCTGTCTGTGCACCCACCATGGCCACAGAAGTGCAGGGCGTCTGCAGTGGCCGCCTCTGCTGGGGGAGGAGGGGGGTTGGAGGGGTGGGCATGTCCCCAGCTGTGTCCCCTCCTCTTCCCCCATGTCTTTATCCACTGGGTCTCTCCCTACGCCACATCTAGCTGTGTGCATCCCTCCCCTTCCTCTCAACACTCTTTGGTCACCCCCATCTTTGCCCCGAGATGTCTTCTCCCTGGCCCCAGGGTCCAGAGGCCCTTGCAGTCTTACAGGGCAGCCCATCAGACTTTTTGATGGGGTTTCCCTGGGATCTTTGCATCTGTTCCATTTCCTCTCCTGGCACCCAGAACCAAGTCAATGTGAGCAGGCCCCACAGACTTTGCCCACTCATGAGGAAGAGGGCAGACCCAGGGGATGTTGAGACAGCTGGGCCAGGGGCTGCTGTGTAAGCGCAAGGGTGCATGTGTGGGGAGGGATGTGGGTACTGCCAGGAGAGGGGCACTCTCAGAGTGACCACGACGGAGTGGGCTGAGGGCACAGAAAGTTACCTGGATGATGACAGGGGCCACATGAGAGGCCCACAGAAGCCCCCCTCTCCACCCTGGAGGCCCAGCCACCACCTGGGCCCTGCCAGGCTGGCGCCCTGCGGTCCCCACACTGCTGCCCGCTCAGCCTGGCAGCGTTCCTTTGCAGCGTCCTGCCAGCACGCTAGCCCCCTGCCCCCACTGGTGTCCGTGCCAGAGCAGCATTCCGCAGGCCTGGCTGCGTCTCCCCAGCGGAGACTGAGCAGGGAGGCTCCTCAGCACTGGTCAGGTCACACGGCCGAGGGGCACGGTGGGGCCTGGGCCTCTGGCTCCCACTGCTCTCATCCTGCCTCTCCCTGGTGCTGGGCCGGCCACCTTTAAAGACTTGCTCACTGCAGCGGTGGTTGGGTTCTGGCACCTCCCGCCCTGTGCCCCTGCACTGTGGAAAGCCAGAGGAGGCCACCAGGTACAGGTATGGGCCAAACAGCACAGAGTAAAGAGCTCTGGGCAGCCCTGGGGTGGAGGTAGGGGGGTGGATAGCGCCGAGAGCCGGCCTAGCTGGAAATCCTAGACTCACCCTCAGGTCAAAGCAGCTCAGGCCAGAGGGTGGGGGCGGTGAGCGCGGCTAGGGTACGGGGTTCGGTCTCAGCGTGGGGTCGCTCAGGGGAGCAGGGGAAGCATTTCTGCAGCTAATTGGGGAGTGGGCGCTCCCAGCTTCCCCACTGCAGGGCCGCCTCCTACTCCGACCTCGCCTCTGTGGTGCAGCTGGAAGGGTCTGAGATTAGACTCTCGGACGAACTTCCCGGCAGAAAGGGGGCTCCGCGCGCGAGAGTGAGGCCGGGGCCCATCCGCTAGCATGGGAGCAGTGGGGCCCGGCTGGGGTCTCCTGCCGCCCCAGCTAGAGCAGGCTGCACCGGGACCGCGCACACCACGCGTGTCCGCGCCCCCCGCCGGCACGCAGGCGGCCTGGCCCTTTAAGCGTCCAGACGGCGGCCCCAGCTGACGCGCGGGCTCCAATCGGCGCCCCGCGCCCCCCGCCCGCCGCGCCCGAGGCTCTGGGGCCGCAGCTGCTCCGCGGCTGGACTCGCCGCGGCCCTGCGCCTCCGCCCGCCCGGCCGCGCCCCCGGGGGCCATGGTCGCGGGGCCCTGCGCCGGGGCGGCCCCCAGCGCGGCGCTTCATGGAGCGGCCCCGGCCCGGCCGCCGGGGGCAGCGCGATCCCTCGGGGCCCTGTGAGCCCCCAGCGCCACGGCACCATGGTACGCAAGGCCCTGCCTGTCCCCCCGCTTATCCGCCCACCTGCCCGCTCCGCCCTCCCGAGCGCACTGCCCGCCAGCTCAGGGTGGAGGAGCTGGAGGTGTCTTACCCCTCCTCCGTCTCCCCGACCCCTTCTCCTAGGTCCCCGCGGGCCGGGAATGCGGCGCTTCGGCGCGGCCCTCGGTGGGGAGGGGGTTAAATTCCTGGGGTGGGGGCCCAGGCGCGAAAAGCTGAAGTCTTGCTAGGCGCAGGCAGAGGGGGGCGCTTCTCCGGGCCCACGACGCCGCCGCCCTCCACTGGGTGATTGGGGGGAGGGGGGAGGTCGAATTCCCGCCTGGGCCTTGGGCCACGTGGGCCCTGGAGCCGCCCTGCTTGGGGATTTGGGGCGACTGGGCCAAGCCGGGTGTGTTGCGGCTGGACGCCCGCAGCTCCGGTCCAGACTACTGTGTGACCTTGGGCCAGTCCTCTGCCCTCTCTGGGCCTGTTTCCTGGGAAAAGAGTGGGGCCATATGAGTGCAGAAGAGCCTGGAACAGACAACCCTTCTCCAAAAAGAGGAGCCTGGAAGTTACGAACCTGTGCCTCTTGCTCAGTCTGGGCCCCACCCACGGGTTCCTGGCAGTAAGGATTGGCATAGGCGTTTGGGGTGTGTGTTGAGGCGGGGGCTGCCGATGCATCCTGGGGCCTCCAAGCAGGTCAGGATAGGGAGCCGGCAGCTTCATGGCGCTGAGAGGGGGTACCCCTCAGATACAGAAGGCTCTGGCCCTGGTGAGCAGTCTCAGCAGGTGTCCCTGGCACCTGGGCTTCCCAGCCTGGCTTGCGGGGAGAGTTGGAGGGCGACAGGAGTGCCTGACCGCTCCCAGGCTGGCCTGGCCTTGAGGATGGAGTGCACCTGGCTGCAGCTGGCACAGCAGTAGGGACGCATGTCTGCAGTTCCAAGGAGTTGGCACATCTGGCCCAGGAGGCAGGCACAGCTCGTGGGCCTGGCATGGGAGGTGCCAGGCAGATGGGTGGCTGAGGCCTGCTGAGGTAGTTGACAGGTATGGACTCACGCTGGATGGGTGTGCCCTGTCAGTTAGGGCCAGCCAGGGTTCCTGTTGTGAGATTCTTGGGCCCCTCAAGGGTGCAGGGTGGTACTGACCCGGGAGGGGTGGTACTGCTGTGGGAATGGAGTCTTTAGGGGCACCAACACCCTCCAGGCTAACCACTCCCTCCCTGCTGAGGCCAGAGGGCCCTGGGACCAGATCTGTACATGGGAAGGTCAGGCACTGCCCTTTATTTCCAATGCCAGGTAAGCATGGGAGGGCATTTTGTGAAAGGGGATGCAGAGTGGCCCTGTGGCCTAGGATGTGCTCCCCTCAACAGGCGTGGCTTTAACAAGCCCTTATCCAAGCCACTTCTGCCACTCTGTGGCCCCCAGTGGCCCTTAGGGGCCCTCTTACAACCCAAGTTGCATCCTGACCCCTCACTGACCTGCAGGTGGTAGCAGCTCTGGGGAGAGGCTACGTTGCAGGGGGTAGTGGTGGCATCTAGGAAGGACAGCTGGTCCCCTGAGTCTGAGGCTCCCCAGAAGCCTCTTACTGCTTTTTAAGCCATCGCAAGCCAAGAAATCCGTCCACGTGGAGTGGCGTCCAGTCCATCAGGGAAGGGGTGGCCTTAGCAAACTGCTGGAAGTCTAGGGGCTCTGCTGCTGTTCACTTGTGGGACACTCCCATTCTGAGCCTCGGTTTCCCCATCCGTGCAGTAGGGATTGGTCCCAGAATGAATCAGAATGAGTCAGAGGAGGGAGGTGGGAGGACTTGGCAACATATCCTTGTTAGATTGGCCAGGCCTGGACAGGCCAGCAGTCCTGAGACAGAGGGGCAGATGGGCGACTTCTTGGCCGGGGGTCAGGGAGTGTGGGAGACCTCGAGGAAGATGGTGTCCATGGTCAAGAGTCTGGCCAGACTGGGATCTGCGAGAGCATGGGGTGTGTGCTGCCCTGGGTATGCAGGGTGGGGCCCAGGGCAGATTCTCATTCAGGTAACTAAGAAGGTGAACATAGGTACCACCCCGGAGCCCAGACTGGGCCCACCAACTGCTATCCCATCATGGAAGAACTGTCCTGGGGGATTGGGGCGGACTATGGATAGACCAAACTAAGGTTTTATCCCAGGGCTTACAGGGAGGTGCTGGGGGCAGGGTGGGGGGAGGAGCTGATGGCTTGTTGGCAGTGAGGCAAGGTACCCCTGAGTTAAACAGGGCCCGAGGAGGGCCCTGAACTGGAACATGAAGTTGGTCCAGCCAGGCAGGTGATGGACAGATACTATCTGAACATCTGTGTGCTGGACCTACACACGGGACTGGGCGTCCTGCCTGTCTGCGCTGTCTACCTTTTGGGGGGGCTGCTGGGGAGGAGCCAGGAATGATTAAGCCAGCCCTCATTCCGGACAAGTTACAGGTGCTGGATGTGGCCCGAGGACCTGATAATCTGACCCGTCAGACTTCAAGGGCCTCTCTGAGGCGTCAAAGGAGTGTGGCCTCCAAGATGGGCCCCTCTTAGAGCCTCTGGGCCTGGATCATACCTGACCTGGGGTCTGGGGCCCTAGAGGGAAGAGGGTCTAGGACAGGCCTTGGGGGCCTCCTGTCTCTAAGCATGGTGGACAGGTAACCCAGCTATGTCCTTCTGCCCCCACAGAGCCCCTGTGTGAGGGAGTTGCTGGCAGCCAGAACTGAGGCCATGGGCAGTAGCCTGGCCCAGTAAGAAAGGGGTTGGCTCGATCCCACCAGCCGCCTGCAGCAGTGAGTGGGACCAGGCCCTGGGCCTGGATTTCTTCATGAGAATTTCTAACTCTGCAAGGCCTCAGGCCTTGAGGCCCGATGCTGGGGAGGGGAAGGGTTTCTGAGGTGCTTCCCCCAGAGTGCAGTAGCAGCCAGAGGCTGAGCCGTGAGGTAGTGAGCCTGACTGTCGTTCTTGAGTTGTCTGGGCTTGGGCAGGCATGATTTTATTTCTGTGTGTGAGTGTGAGGGAGAGAATCCACAGAGCTCCAGAAATGCTGAAGCAGTGCTTGTATCTGAGGTGACCACCTCGCCCCAGTCTGCCCAGATCAACCCTGGTTTTAGCACAGAAGGCCCCCACATCCCAGGAACCTGCTAGGTCCCAGGCACTCCTGGACAGTTGGTCACCCTATTTCCTGTTACTTCCTCTTTCCTTTTCTTCCCCTTCCCTGCCCAGGAGGACTTCCTGTTTCGCAGGGAAGAGCTGGAGGTCCAGAAAAGTTAACCAGAAAAGTTAATCCAGGAGCTGAAGGTCATGATTGAAGTCTGCGCTCTAAGGGGCAGCTGGATCGGGCTTGAGTCCTGGTTCCCCTCCCCCTTCCCTCCCTGCCACATCCTTGCTTGAGCTTCAGCCCTTTTTCTATAACGTGGAGCCAGGAGTGCTGGACAGGCTGTCCCCCGGTGGTGGGTGCCGCCCAGGTTGCCGGCCTTGACCTGACCTGTGCCCTGTGCCCCGCAGTTGCTGGTTGAGAAGACAACAGACTCGCCAGCGGTTGAGTTCTCGCTGGTGGAGGACGTGGCACTGCACTTCGCCTGCTTGATGGGCCGCCTGAACGAGCAGCGCCTCTTCCAGCCTGACCTCTGCGACGTGGATCTGGTGCTGGTGCCCCAGCGCAGTGTCTTCCCGGCACACAAGGGCGTGCTGGCCGCCTACAGCCAGTTCTTCCACTCACTCTTTACCCAGAACAAGCAGCTGCAGCGCGTGGAGCTGTCCCTGGAGGCGCTGGCGCCCGGCGGCCTGCAGCAGATCCTCAACTTCATCTACACGTCCAAACTGCTGGTCAACGCGGCCAACGTCCACGAGGTGCTCAGTGCCGCCTCATTGCTGCAGATGGCTGACATCGCCGCGTCCTGCCAGGAGCTGCTAGATGCCCGCTCCCTAGGCCCCCCGGGCCCCAGCGCTGTGGCCCTGACCCAGCCGACCACTGGCTGCACCCCTGCTGCACCGCCCTACTACTGCGACATCAAGCAGGAGGCAGACGCCCCAGGCCTGCCCAAGATCTATGCCCGCGAGGGCCCTGACCCCTACTCTGTGCGTGTTGAGGACGGGGCCGGGGCTGGGGGCGCAGGTGGCCCGGTGCCTGCTGCCATTGGGCCGGCCCAGCCCTTCTTCAAGGAGGAGAAGGAGGGCGGTGTCGAGGAGGCTGGTGGGACCCCTGGCAGCCTGTGTAAGCTGGAGGGTGGGGAGGGGCTGGAGGAAGAGCTAGGGGGTTCTGGCACCTACAGCCGCCGGGAGCAGTCCCAGATCATTGTGGAGGTGAACCTTAACAACCAGACTCTGCACGTGTCCACGGGGCCCGAGGGGAAGCCGGGGACCACCACGGGACCGGCCACCATGGTGCTGGGCCGGGAAGATGGGCTGCAGAGACACTCAGAGGAGGAGGAGGAGGAGGAAGAAGAGGAGGAGGAGGAGGAAGAAGAGGAAGAGGAGGGTGGTGGCAGTGGAGGGGAGGAGGAGGAGGAGGAAGAGGAGGTAGAGGAGGGTGGCAGTCAGGGAGAGGAGGAAGATGAGGAGGAAGGGCACAGCGAGCAGGAGGAGGAAGAGGAGCAGGAAGAGGAAGGGCACAGTGAACAGGAGCAAGAGAGCTCAGAGGAGGAGGAGGGGGAGGGGGAGGTGGGGGGCCGGCAGGGGCCGGCGGGGCGGCGGGGCAGCAGGGCAGAGCCCCCTCCCCATGGTCACATGGCCACGCGGTCCCGAGAGAACGCCCGGCGCCTGGGCCCCCCTGAGCCTGAGGAGACCAGGCCACGGGGTGGGAAGAGGCCCAAGCCCGCGCCCGGAGCCTCTGCATCGGCCCGAGGGCCACAGGCCACTGATGGGCTGGGGGCCAAGGTGAAGCTGGAAGAGAAGCAGCACCACCCATGCCAGAAGTGCCCTCGCGTCTTCAACAACCGCTGGTACCTGGAGAAGCACATGAACGTGACCCACAGCCGCATGCAGATCTGCGACCAGTGCGGCAAGCGCTTCTTGCTGGAGAGTGAGCTGCTGCTGCACCGGCAGACAGACTGCGAGCGCAACATCCAGGTGTGCCCCTTGACTCCCTGGGGTGGGCGGGGCAGGGCCGGGCAGAAGGCCTGCTGAGTCCACACGACCACCCAGGCCGGGCACCCAGGGTCATGCTGCCTGCATTACCCAGACAGGCCAGGGAAGCCAGACTTACCCCGGGACTAGCCCAGGCCCGGGGTGGCGAGAGCTCCGGGGATAATGTCAAGGAGGGCTTCCTGGAGGAGGCAGGTGGAGCTGGGCTTGGCATGTGGAGACATGTGCAGAAAGGACTGAAACAAATAGTACCCTTGGCCAGAGGGGCGAAGGGGAGCATGGACTCTGGAGGATGAGAGGAGGGAGTTGTCTGAGTACTTGAGGCTGGTGGATAGCCAGCTGTGAGGAGGGGTGAGTCTGTGTTTTCCTAAATCCTAGGGCTGCTAAGGCCAACAGGGCCACCATTTGCAGTTTCAGATTGTGCACTGCACAAAAGCACAGGCGAGGTGGGGCAGGGTTTGCCCAGAGAGGGCGCCATTTCCTCTTGCCACAAAGGCTGAATAGAGCAAGGGAGTGGCCGAGCAGGAGAAAGCCCCTGCTTGCAGTCAGTCTTTGGAGATGCCAGCTGGCCTGGGCCTGGGAAGAGGGCTCAGATGAGAAATTTGGGAAGAGCAGGGGCTGCTGGGGCCCAGCAGGGGAGCTGGGCTGGTGGCCAGGCCCTGTGTTGGCCTGTCAGGGTGTGGTCAGCGCAGGGCCAGCCTGGCTGCTTTTTACTTGTTCTGACCTGGGAGGGGAGTGATGGGGCAGCAGGTAGGCGGGTGCTGATTGCCTGAGCTAATTGCTAATTGCATTGCCCTGTGGAGAAAGTGTTACCTGGGGGTTACCTGGTCTCCTGGCCCACCTCCTGCACCTGTTCCCACCTGTCTGCCTGCTGGGCAGCCCTTTGACTCTCCACCTGCACACACCTGAACCTTCCTCCTGAAGGGGAAAGATGCATGTGCCTCTTCTGACCTGGGCGCCCTGGCCTGTTTCTGCCCAAGCCCTGACCTACTCCAGCTCTTGGGGAGAGTGTCCTGAAGGGATGGGTAGGACAGGAGGAAGAGGGGGGCACAGGATTCCCACAATCCTCCGTGTCCTCATGGGACCTAGTACCTCCCACAGTCTCCCCCAGGTGGCCCTTTGACACCTATGTTCTTGAGGATCCACGGGGTCAGGGCCTGGGTCCCAGCAGGGGGAGGCAGCAAAGGCAGTGTCCCAGCTCTGTCAGACCCATTACCTGAGCAGCTCTTCCCCATGCACCGTGGCCTCTGGACCTGCTGTGGCCCATCAGCTAGTTGTGTGTCTCCCCTCAGTAGGGAGATGCTTTGTTAAAATGAGCACAGAGGAGGGGCTTCCTTGTATAGGTGACCCCTGACCCTAGTTCGGTTGAAGGTTGAGGGGAGGGCCCCAGGCTGCAGCCCTGGATGGGTGGGTTACCATCCCCGACTCCCAGAACATCCAATTTGGCTAGGCTCTCTTGCCAGCACAGTTCAGTTGGAGAAACTGAGGTCCAGAGAGGGGCAGCTTGTCCCAGGTTACATAGTCCTGACACAGGACCTGGGCCCTAAAGTCCTCTTACCCCACAGTGTGTGACCTGTGGTAAAGCTTTTAAGAAGCTCTGGTCCCTCCACGAGCACAACAAGATCGTACATGGCTATGCAGAGAAGAAGTTCTCCTGTGAGATCTGCGAGAAGAAGTTCTATACCATGGCCCACGTGCGCAAGCACATGGTTGGTGAGTAGGCTGAGAGAGGATGGGGCCTGAGGTCAGAGCTCGGCCAGCTCCTGGTTGTGCTGGGAAGGGCTTCCCATCCAAGGGCAGTGTGAAGATGTGAAAAGGCCCCTCTTAGCTGGGAAGTCTGGGGGAGGCTGGTTGTGGCGGCCGTCGTGGCCTGGATAGGCTCCAAGGTCAGGGGCACCATGTATAGTTGGGCAGGCTGCACACTGCGCAAGGGCTCCTGGACAAGATGGCAGATGGGAACCAGAATCCAGCTGGCACACTACTAACCAGACTAGGTATCACAGCAGGGGGTTGTGCCCACCAGGGAAAGGATCACCTTTTCCTAAATTGTACAAAGTGCCATAGGTGCAGACATAGGCCATGTCTCAGTTTGAGGCCAGGTGTGCCTCTCATTTTTTTCTTGCCTTCTTTCTGGCCCTCACAGGGCTTCAGGCTTCTCTGAATGCAACCCATGATAATGCAGTGCAGTAAGGAGGTGTGTGTTGGGCTCCTCCTCTGCCTTGGGCATGACTGTCCCTCCCCTCTGTGGGCCTGGGAGTCTGGTGTCCAGGTGGCCCTTCTTTCTTTGCCTGCTTGGGGCCTGGGGCTCAAGGGAGGTGTGGCCCCTGGCCAGGCCTTACCCCCTTTCTCCAGCCACCTGGGAGCTGGGGCCCTGGGCCTGAGGTCTCAACCAGGAGCATGCTGGGTAACCCAGAACTGGTAGTCTTCCTGGGCTCGAGTTCCTCAGCTCTGAGCTCTGGCTCTGGTTGTTTTCCCCTAGATCTTCCTTGAACAGTTTATTAGTCCTCATCTCTCCATGGTTTTAGGGGGAGCACAGCTAACTTCCTCTGGACTGCTTAGTGTCATCCCCTATAAAGCCCACCTTTGAGGTTCAGTGCCATTCCTAGCCTGTCTTTACATTTTTTTAAATGTTTATTTTTGAGAGAGAGAGAGATACACACAGTGTGAGTGGGGGAGGGACACAGAGGGAGACAGAATCCAAAGCAGGCTCCAGGCTCTGAGCTGTCAGCACAGAGCCCCATGCGGAGCTCAAACCCACAAGAGGTAAGATCATGACCTAAGCTGAAGTTGGCTGCTTAACCGACTGAGCCACCCATGCGCCCCTCCTAGCCTGTCTTTATAGAAGGGCATGCCTGAAGCCCACAGAGGTTGTGCAGGGAGCCCCTGGCAGGGGCCAGGGTGTGAGCTGAGGCCAGTCCTACTTGGGGTCCTTCAGTCACTCCCCAAAGTTTTGGGAGTGAAGCAGCCTTGGCCAGAGGCTGAAGAACATGAGGGCGTCCGTGCTAGTCTGACCAGACTTGAGAACAGACAGACCTAGCCCAGAGGGAAGGGGCCTTGCTCTGAAGTCAGCCCCAGATCTTGGACTGAGGCTCAGAAGCAGACCCTGAAGTAGGTGTGCCTCCCAGGAGGGCCCAGTGTGGGAGGTGGTCAGGCAGGGATCCCCTGGGAGGAGCCAGGGGAGTCCCCCTGAGACATAATGGCTTTCCCCACAGCCCACACCAAGGACATGCCCTTCACCTGTGAGACCTGCGGGAAGTCCTTCAAACGAAGCATGTCTCTCAAAGTGCACTCACTGCAGCACTCTGGGGAGAAACCCTTTAGATGCGAGGTGAGCCCCTTCCTCCGCCTGCCCCAGGGGCCACCGGGATGGACGGGGATCAGGAACAGCAGCTGCCTAAAAACCAGGGAGTTGTGGGGATTGGAGTCCAGGATTTGGAGAGAGGGGACCCCACCCTGGTGTCTGTGGCCCTTTCCCCCCACTCTGTCCTTACCTGGTTGCCTATCTGCCGGCCCCCGCCCCCACCCTCTGCCATCCCCACTCCAACCCCGTCCCCACGCATTCAGGGTGGGCAGTCTCGTTGGGCTGGAATGGTGCATGGGGTGGGCTTTTTGGAGAGGAACATCTCAGAACAGAGACAGAGCTGCAGGCAGGGATGGGGTGGGAGGGCCTTCCAGCAAGGAGGAAGGATGGCGGTGGGGTGGGGGGGGCGCCGCTCAGCTTTAAGCATGAGGACTCCCTCCATTCTGTGGCCTTTTCCCACTTGACCTCCATTCCCGCCTGGGCCCTGTCTGCCCTTGGTCTCTCTTCTGCCCGTGTGCTGCCCAGCCCCAGGAGCCCGGCCCGTGTGTGTGTCCTCCCTAGGCCCTGCGGTCACAGGCAGGTGCTTCCCTTCCCAAAGGCTGCTCCCTACTCTGCCCCCGGGCCTCACCCTCCACCCCACCCTCAGAACTGCAATGAGCGCTTCCAGTACAAGTATCAGCTGCGGTCACACATGAGCATCCACATCGGCCACAAGCAGTTCATGTGCCAGTGGTGTGGCAAGGACTTCAACATGAAGCAGTACTTCGATGAGCACATGAAGACCCACACAGGTACGGCTGCCTCCCAAGAGGGACCCCTTCGCAGCCCTGCTCCAGAGGCCAGGGGTGGCCCCAGCCATTGCAGCTTCTCACCTCCAGGCTCAGTGTGCCCTTTTCTGTGAGGCCCGGTGCCATTCTCCCTGCCTCCGGGGGTAGGGAGGCACTGAGGGGCCCAGGGCTGGGCCCACCATGGCTCTAGGAGCGTGGGGAGGCTGGCGCAGAGCTGGGGCGTGGGGAACCCCTCAGTGACTCCCTGGTGCCCGTCGCCCGTGCCTAGGGGAGAAGCCGTACATCTGTGAGATCTGCGGCAAGAGCTTCACCAGCAGGCCCAACATGAAGCGGCACCGGCGCACGCACACCGGCGAGAAGCCTTACCCCTGCGACGTGTGCGGCCAGCGCTTCCGCTTCTCCAACATGCTCAAGGCCCACAAGGAGAAATGCTTCCGCGTCAGTCACCCCCTGGCCAGCGACGGCGCCGCTTCTGCCCCAGGCCTGTCCCCGTCCCAGCCTCCGGCCCACACACTGCCCCTGCTCCCGGGGCTGCCCCAGACCCTGCCACCCCCGCCCCACCTGCCGCCCCCACCGCCACTCTTCCCCACTACTGCCAACTCCGGCGGGAGGATGAGCGCCAACAACTGACTGCCGAACCGTGCGTGCGTGGGGCATGGAGCCCGGGGCCGCCTCCGGGAGGGATCCCCCTGCCCCCCCTCCTTCCGGTTGGAGGGCAGCAGCACTGGCCTGGCACCGCCGCCCTCACCTCCAGAGGTGGCTGGACACATGCTGCCCGGGGCCCCCGGCGCTGGGGGAAGGACACCTCACTCCCAAGTGCCCCCCTTTCAGTGACTCCTTGAAGCCTTTACTTTTTTTTTTTTTTTGGAAGTGGAGGAAAAAGAAAAGAGAGGAAACTATTTCCAGTACCCCCTCCAGGTGAGGGGGGTGCTCGAGGCACAGGTACAGCAGGGAGGGAGGGGCTGGGGAGCAGGTGTGACCCAGTTGCTCTGCTGATGCCTAAGCCGGAGGGGGTTGGCCAATCCAAGCCTGGGTCAGCTGCAGTGGCTCATCTCTGCCTCCCTTGTGCCCCGTCATCTTGGGGAGTTTGGGGAAGAGTTGGGGTATCAGCCACTCCCCCTTCTCCAGAAGGAGTCGTGGACCCAGTCTGAGGCCTGTGGACACTGAGGCACGGGCTTGAGTCTGGATGCCTGTGAGTGTGCTGTGGGAGAGGTGGCGAAGTGCAAAGGCTGCATACCCAGCTTTGCACTGTGTGCAGTGTGGTGGGCAGGGGCTGGACCCCAGGCATTTGCTCTCCCGCCCACTACCCTGCCAGCAGAGAGCCTGAGCTATACCAGACTGCGTTGAGGTCCCTGAGTCCAGGAGAGGACGTCCCCAGCAGCCACTGGGCCTCTGGGGCAGGGGAGGAACTGGGGGCTAGGCCCAGGGTGGACAGATGGGCTGGCTCCGGCAGTGCCAGATCCCCCGGGCTGCAGCCAACGGCCCTGCAAATGGGTGGACACTAGGGGCAGGGCCCTGAGAAGGAGACCCGGGCAAATGTTTTGAGGTTTCAAGGTGCTATCAGCGGGGCCGGGGTAGGGCTGCTGTTCACAGAGCACCTCGTCCCCCACCAGCTGCCCTGGTCATCCTTCCCACACCAGAGGAGATGTGTCTGTGTCTGTACCCATCCCGGCTCCGAAGGCAGAGGCCTCACCTTCCTAGGCCTGCAGCATCCCTGTCTCCCCTGGGCCTCTGTGCTGTGGTCAGGGCGCCTGTAGCACTGTTGGTGAGAGGGGCCTGCACATTCAGGCCCCGGGGTGGGGGCGAGAGCCCTGGGGGAGCCCCAGCCTGTGCCCAATGCTTGCCCCCATGAGGCTGGCACTAATAGGACACCCTTTTTTGTTGTCATTTAACGTCTTTATCCCTGCCTTTAAGATGGGGAGGAAGGTTCCATAAGCTACGTGTTTCCTAGTTAAGCTCTTTCCTTTTGTGTTTATACAGTTTTGTTTGTTATACTCTGCACCTTAAACTCCCACGACTACCCCCACACCACCACCTTCCCAAGCATGGCTGGAGTGGGAAGAGGCCTAGGCCCTGGGGGGAGGGACAGTGGCAGGGGGCAGGGGGAGTGGGCCCCATCAGCCCAAGGGCTGAGGGGGTCAGAACCCCTTTGACCTCCTTGTGAGGCCCATGGCACTGGGGTGGGGGCTGGGGACATTTTAATCATCAATAAACGAAGCACTTTATTCTGTACAGATGTGGGCAGCTCCAAGAAGCCCGAGTGATTTGAAGATTCATAATCCAAGCTACACAGCCCTGATTGTTCTCTGGGTGCAGAGCAGGCACTGTCCTGGCCTAGTTGCATGTGGGGCTGTGGCAGTAGTAGTGCAAGCCGGAGCCTACAGGCTTACCCTCAGACACCCCTGCTGTCCTCCGGAGAGAGAAGGTGGGCCCCTCATTGAGGGAGGAGGCTCCCTGTCTGGCTCCCAGTTCTGCAGCTCCCTTATCCCCAGGCTGAGTTCCAGGCTCCTGCTTTACTATAGCTCCCTCTCCTGCACTCCTTGATCTCTGGGCTTCCATGACGTCCTCAGGGTCCCCCCGCCCCCGTTTCCTCCTTTTCCTTGCTATTTCTAACCTCTGGACCCAGTGCCTGGCAGCTCTTTAGAGCTGGCTCATGTTTTCCCCAAAAAAGTTGATCTCCCCCAGTGTGCTGTAGGTTGGGATCCCCATGGGTTCCCCCAACCCCCGTTGCTGACACTAGGGTCTTACATGGGGACTGGTTGTCTTGTCACCAGCTAGCCCCACTACAACTTTAGTGAGTGAGCCTGGCTGGGGGGTGGGGGGGATCACAGCTGGCCAGATCAGATCCCTGTTAGGCCACTCATTAATAACCAGAGGCTAGAGGTGGGTGTTAGGGGGAGGGTGAGTTGGTGTTGAAACCCTGCCCCAGGATTTGGGTTTCCTGTTCTCCTTCACCTCCCCTCTGAGGGCAGGGGTCCAGACAGCAGGCTGGGCTCTGATCAAAATGGTCATTATCGTTGTGGGTGGGCATCGCCAAGCCCTCTCTTGGGAGGCCCCTGTCCTGGTGAGAACAGGAGCCCTGGTCCCTGGTGCTAAATGCTCTCTTCCCCTTGGGCCAGTGTGAGTGGGAGCCTTTCCAGCCAGATCACAAGGGTCTGAAGCAATAATGGAACCTCAGCAGTGCCAGTATGGGTAGGGGATCTTGTTTTACCAGCTTTTACATTTCCTTTTTATTTTTAAAACAAATTAGCAAGCACCTGGATATTGGAGTAAGGAGACTGGGGCATCATACCCACTTCCCAGGGCCTATGGGGAAGGGAGCTTGGGATTATCATGTCCCGCTGGAGATGTACTGGGGAGGGGGGATGTCCTTCAGTTCAGATGGACTTCTCAGCCCCTTTGGCCAGAACTCGGGTCTGGAACCTGGGCCTGCCCCCTCCCTAGCACCCCCTGGGCTCCCTGGTCTTGGGCCAGCTAGCGATGAGTAGAGAGATGAGGTGGGACCACAGGCTGGAGTTAGAGCCTCAGCCTCTGACCTTGGCAGGTGCTGCCACAGCACCCCTCACTGGGGGTGCTCAGCAGTAGCTGTGTCAGGTGTGTGTGTGGACCCTTGGTGTCTGGGGCCCAAGTGCGTTGGGGATAGCAGGAGGGTGAGGACAAGAGTGAAGGGGAATAAAATCAGTTCAACTGTCCCTTGGTCCAGCTTCTTCTTTACATGTTCCCTACCCTGACTGCGGGCTGGAAAGACCTGGACCAGAGCGAGGACAGCACAGAGCCTGGCTGCAGAGCAGCAGATCGCATGGATAACTGTACCCCGGAGCAGCTGCAGACCCCTTGTCTCTCCCTGAAGGGTGGGCTGGGCTTTACGATCACCCATAGTTGGGAGCTGAGGGAAAAGCAGAGGTGTGCCCACAAACTGGTGTTTGGTCTGGAGCTGGATGCAGAAGGGGATTGAGAGAGGAGAAGTCCTGGGGTTACTGATGCCAAGGCCCCCAGAGGAGTGCCCACAGGAGGCCAGGCCCCCTGCCGTATGGTTTTGCAAGAGTGCCAGAGCCCCAGGACAGCGGGGACTACTCCCACTCATGTGCTCGACACTTGGCAGGCAAGGGTGGTTTGAAGGAGCCAACTATCAGAGATGCTGACGTGGGCACCAGGAAGACAAGCTCAGATGGAAGATAGCTAGTGGCCTCCAAGGAGGGAGCAGATGGCTTTCTCTGGGGACTTCTGAGAATTATTAACATCATTGCACAGGTAATATGCGGAGCCCTGGCTCTGCGCCAGGTGGAACTCTAAGCCCTGGGGCTACATGGCGAACAAGGCCCCTGTGTTTGTGGCAACTGGCTCAGGACACACGAGGAGGGTCTGACCGGGAGGGCCTGAGTGGGTTCATGAACCAGAGAGGAGGTGCAGGTGCTGGAGATGGGGGGGGGTGAAGCTGGTGGTGAAACCCTGTCCTAGGACATGGGTTTCCTGTTCTTATATACCACCCCCCCCCTTCCAGGGCAGGGGTCCAAATAGCAGGTCCCAGGATTGGGGGCCTGTACCTTTCTGCACAGCCTTACTTGTTTGGCCAAAAGGAACAGGCTGACTTAGGTCTCCCTGAAAATGAGGCTCGACAATGAGCTTGAAGACCTTACCGCTCCCCTAGTCTCTGGGTATTCAGCTCCTCTGGCTCTGTTCTCCACCCCTCTTGCTCCCCATCTGTTTGCCTGATGCCACTCTGCCCATTTCTTCCTTCAGCCCCACTGCCACCCCCTTCATTCTCATAAGGTTTCCAACCTCACACTCCAGAGCTGCTCAGGCACCAGTCACGCTGGGCTAGGAGGAGGAGGCTGTTGGGTGGGGGAGGGCACCATGGCTGGCATATTGGGGGCACTCATTCTCTCACAGTTTTGCTCTTGGGGACCAAACTGCTTGTTAACACATTGTGTCCTGGAGCACAGGTCATGTATTTATACCCTAGTTGCAAGGGAGGCTGGGAAGGTGAGCATATCTGCTACTTCCGGTAAGTAGGACTCATAGTCAGAAAACAGCTGTCCAAGCTCACTGAGTGGCACTGGATGGCCACAGAGGGTCCCTTTTCCACCCCGATTCCTGGTTTTGGGGCCCAGGCATTCTGAGAAAAACCATGGCACATGCATGCATACTGGGCACAGGCCTGGAGTGGACACTGCCTCCTACAGGAAGCCACTAGCCTGGCAAGGCAGATCTCTGGGCTAGCTCCGTAATTGACTCTTCCCTAGAGAATGCCACCATTCCAGGGCATTAGGGGCTTCGAGGCACTGGGTAAGACCAGTGCCTGCTGTGAGCACCAGCCCAACACCACACGGCATTGTTTTCTGCACAATCCCTGGGAAAATACCTATTTTTTTTTTTACAATTATAAATTTTCTGACATAGTTTAAAAAGCCAAATATTCTTGGAAGGCTTTTTTTTTTTTTTTTTTTTTAAACAAGACTTGCAGTTGCTTGTATCTCCTCCTTTCCAACTTCTAGTGGGCAATCATTTCCAATTCAGTTGGTATTTTTGGTGTTTCCCCTCATGCCTGTGAAAGTCATGCCTCTGCAGCATTAGGCATCATTTATTGATTTCTTTCTTCAACACTCCCAACACACACACACACATACACACACTATACACACATGGCATCTCTTCCCCTTTCTCCAAGTATAGTTGTATTATTATTTTGGGTTAGATTAACATTCAGTCTATATATCATTTGTACTATGTAAATACAGACCTCAACCAAGCCATGTCATAGAATAGGATTCTATTTCCTTTCTTGTACAACTTCTTTTGTCTCTTTTTAAAATGTTGTTATTTCAGTTTCTAGGCATTTATCACTTCTGTGTACCCAAAGTCTGCCGTAAACGCAACTCCCCTCCTAACGTGCACACACATCAGTTTCCTCTTGGCACCGTCTCTCCAGACGCCTCGCTCGAATCTGGGCTGGTTGATGTCCCCCAGCTGTCACGGTGGGATCTTCCACCCTTCTGAGGATTCTCTCTGTTGTTTCCTAGAGAGATCTCCCATTTCCCTGAATCCTCTGTCTTCCTTTATCTGGATTTGCTCCCTCAATTTGGTGAAGCACATTTCTAGGGGGCTTCCTGAAGAGGGTCTTATGGGCACGTGGAAAGCCGTGGCCAGGCCCAACATGACCGGTCCTACCCAGATCTAGTAACTCAGGAGGCAGTGGAGCTAGTGACCATCATCACAAAGCTTCATCCTCATTTTAACAAGTGGACAATGTGGCGGACAACCTGGTGTGCAAAAAAGTGAAGCCCTCCCCCACAAGGACACTTACTGCTTAACCACATCCCCAGACCTCTGTTCCCTGTCACACTTTGCTGAGACTGTGTCCCTTGAAGTTTTCTATAGAAAACTAACTTCTAGAAGGTTTAGGACTTCGTGGACTACTTTTTTCCCCCTAACCCTAAAATGTAGCTTCTCTTTAGAACCACTTCAGGGAATGAAATTCTGAAGATCTTGACTATTTTTATTCTAGCCTTATGTAGGGATGACTTTGTCTTGAGTACAGAACTCTGGGTGGGAATTCATTTTCCCTCAGAATTTGAGTTGCTAGTGTTTCCCCATCCTGGTTTGACTCCTGATGCTATGTGTCTGGTGTGCTTCTTCCTCTCTGAAGCTTTCAGGCCCTTTGCTTCACCTCCAGCCTTGTGAACCTTCAAGGCAATGATGTACTTGGTGTGAATTTTTCTCATCCACTGAGCTGGGTACTTGGTGAGCCCTGTCAGTCTGGGGCTACGTTCCTGAATTAGGGCTTTAAACCATTTCCTCTCCAAGTTTTTCTCTGTTCTTAAGCTCTTGTTATTTAGATATTGGACTTCTGGGCTGCTTTTCTCATTCCTTTATCTCATCTCATGTTCGTCATCTTTTTTGTTCCTCAAATTTGAGATTTCCTCAAATTTATTTTCCAAGTCTTCTATCAAGTATACATTTTCCCCATTATACTTTTTAATTTCTTCATTTCTCTGGAAGTTCTTCTTCTTCTTCTTCTTCTTCTTCTTCTTCTTCTTCTTCTTCTTCTTCTTCTTCTTCTTCTTCTTCTTTTTTGGTAGTGTTTGTCGCTTTATTATGTAAGCAGTTTTTGGACGTTATTACTAGCAGTGTTTGAATTTTTTCTGCGTCCTGATTTTTTTAATCTTTGTTTCCTCCAGTTTCCCTTCCTTTCATTTATTTTTCATGGGACTTTCCTTAGATGTTGGGTGGTC